ACATTTTGAAACAGGAGCCGCTCTCCATTGCTGAAAGTGCTACACACTTTTACGTCTAAGCTGCGCGGCGCTAAGGCGGTAACCACATTGAAAGAAAGGCTGTCCTTCATCCTCAAAACGGTTGCAACCTTTTAAGGTGAATGCGCGCGGCGTTGAGGCGAGAGCAACATTTTCTAAACGGCCCGCCCCACATCTTCGAAACGATGGGAAACTTTTGACACGAATGTGCGCCGCGCCAAGGCGAAATTCACATTTTGAAAAAAACTCGCCCATCATTGAATCTGCTGCGAACGTTTAAGACGAGTGTGCGCGGACCTAAAGCGAGAGCCACATTTGAAAACGTCCCGCCCTCCGTCCTTGAAATTGTTTCACATTCCAAGCTTCAATCTCATAAATGATGAGGAGGTTTCAGGCGAAACGCCAGGCCCTTCTCTACTGACATTTCTGCGGGTGCGACAGGGAGGAGGAGGAGGAGGAGGAGGAGGAGGAGGAGTAGGAGGAGGAGGAGGAGGAGGAGGAGGAGGAGGAGGAGGTGGAGGAGGAGCAGGAGGAGGAGAAGGTGGAGGAGGAGGAGGAGGATGAGAAGGTGGAGGAGAGGGAGGAGGAGGAGAGGGAGGAGGAGGAGGAGGAGGTGGAGAAGGAGGAGGACGGAGAGTGGTAGGTATAACAGGAGGAGGGGGAGTAAGGAATGACAGGAGGAACAGCGAGGGAAGGAAGAGGAGTAGGAGGAGGAGGACGATGAGGAGGAGGAGGAGGAGGAGGAGGTAGAATGTGGGGCGACGGCGCCCGTCTTGTGATGTGCACCCCCTGTCAAGGCTGTTTGGGGACGATGATGATGATGATGATGATGATGATGATGATGATGATGATGATGATGATGATGATGATGATGATGATGCTGATGCTGATGCTAATGCTGATGCTGATGCTGCTGCTGAAAATGATGATGATGCTGATGGTGATGGTGATTCTGCTGTTGCTGCTGACGATTTTTGGTGGTGGTGATGATGATGATAGTTATGATGATGCTGATGATGCTGCTGCTGCTGATGATGATTAAACTTATGATGGTGATGATAATAGTCAACCCGCATAGTAAGGAAGGGCTACCTTCCCAAATGTGCCCTTGCATCCTTTCTCTTCAGCCCATTCCTGGCCGCTTTCGCTGTCCGCGCCCCGCCTCCAGAGCGTCGACATGGCCTTCCAAGGTCCTTGCATCCTTACCGCGCATCCTTATTCTACGGCTTGACTGTATGGTGACGATGAGCAGGAGCCCCGACCTGGAGGATGAGGAGGAGGAGGAGGAGGAGGAGGAGGAGGAGGAGGAGGAGAAAGGATCGGAGGAATGACGAACACCCAGGAGGAGGAGGAAGGGAAAAAGGTGAGGGAAGGGGAAGGCGGACTCTGCACCGAGGGAAGGGGACCGAGGGCTGACGATCCATGACGGAAAGGGGGGGAGGGGGAGAGCGCGCCTGACGGCCGAAACTCTCAGCTTGTACCGTGTTTGGTTTCTCTTCGGCAGGTGGAAGGCAGCCGGGCTCGCCGGAGCATCGTCGTCGCGCTCCAGGGAGCAGAGAGGAGGCCCTCCCCCAGCCCTCCCGCCCTGCAAGCCTCTCGGCTTCTTTCCCCTTCCAGTCGTCCTCCCCCTCCTGCTACTCCTACCCTTTCTCGTCGTCCTCGTCGTCGTCGTCGTCGCCGTCGTTCTCGTCGTTGTTGTCGTCGTTGTCGTCCTCGTCGTCCTCCTCGTCGCAGCCGCTGTGGTCTTCTTCTTTTTCTTCTTCCTCTGCTTCTTTTCATTCTCCTTCTGTCTCCTTCTTCTTCTTCTTCTTCTTCTCCTCCTTCTTCTTTCAATTTATATTTTTATTGGGATTATTCTTCGTATTCGTCTTCGTTTTCGTTTTCGTCTTCGCTTTTTTCTTTGTGTTCGTCTTTGTCTTCCTCGTCTTTGTCTTACCGTCACCAAAAACAATACTGTATACCTTTTTTTTGGTTCTGTTATAAGTATTCATTATTGTTTGTTATCGCAAATATCATAGTTTTATGCGTGTTTCTGTTAATCGTTTTTTTCTAGTTTTATTCAAATGTGATGCTGGAGAAAATCCCTAATCAGTGTCTTTTTAGGGATATAGGATTATGGGGCTATTGGGTTATAGGGCGACTAGGCTATGGGGCTACAGGGCTATGGAATCATAGGGCTATAGGGCTATAGGGCCATAGGGCTCTAGGTCTACAGGGCCACAGGGCTATAGGGCTAGAGGACCATGGGTCTTTAGGGCTGTAGGGCTATAGGGCTATGGGGCTATGGGGCTATGGTGCTATGGTGCTATAGGGCTATAGGGCTATAGGGCTATAGGGCTATTGGGCTATGTGGCTATATGGCTATAGGACCATAGGGCTATAGGGCTATAGGGATGTAGGGCTATGGGGCTATAGGGCTGTAGGGCTATAGGCATATACACACATATATACATATATATATATATATATATCTATAGCTATGGGGCTATCGGCTATAGGGCTATAGGGCTATAGGGCTATAGGGCTATAGGGTTTTATGGCTGTCAGGCTATAGGGCTGTAGGGATATAGGGCCTTTAGGGCTATAGGGCTACAGGGCTATTGGGCTATTGGGCTACAGGGCTATAGAGCTATGGGGCTAGGGCTATTGGGCTATAGGGCTATAGGGCAATAGGGCTATAGGGCTATAGAGCCATGGGGCTTTATGGCGATAGTACTATAGGGAGGGCTATAGGGCTATAAGGCTATGGTGCTATATTGCTTTAGGGCTATATGGTTATGGGGCTGTAGGTCTATAGGGCTATGGGGCTATGGGGCTATAGGGCTATAGGGCTATAGAGCTATAGGGCTATTGGGCTTTCGGGTTATAGGGCTACAGGGCTGTAGGGCACCCGGGCACCCGGGCACCCGGGCACCCCGGCGGGCCGCGGAAATCGGCGGCAAAGCATACCTAACCATATGAACCTTTTAGGACCCCTATAGAGGCAAGCTCTGTTTGGGGAATACTTATAAGTCTTGTTTTTAGTATCATTGTTAGCATTATTGGTTTGTTGTTGCGCTATTTTTTGCTATTCTTGTTGTTACGGTTTTCATTGTTATCTTAAGGGCTTCGCTCTCTGCCGCCGGCCTCCCTATTACTAGTGCGGGCGGCTGCGCGGGGGTCTCCATGGGGCCTCTTGGGGGTCTTCTTGGGGCCTCTGGGGGGGCTCTTGGGAGTCTCCTTGGGGCCTCTTGGGGGTCTCCTTGGGGCCTCTTGGAAACAATATTTTGGTTTTCTTGGGGGTCTCCCTGGGCAACTTGGGTGCCTGTTGGGGGCCTCTGGGGACCTTCTTGGGGCCCTCTCGGGGCGGAAAGGTCGAGTTCTCGGTTCGTGGACTCCCGCTTGGGCCTCTCTTGGGACCGTCGTAGGGCCCTTTTGGGCCGTCTGGGGCGCCTCTTGGACCGTCTTGGGGCCCTCTTCGGCCGTCTTGGGGGCCTCTTGGGCCGTCATGGGGGCTTCTAGAGCCGTCGTGGGGCGATCTTGGGAACCTCTTGGTGTGTCTCGGAGCGTCGGAAAGCCGGGAAAATCTTTGATTTTTGCTTCGTGGGACCCTCTTGGGAGGCATCTTGGAGGCCTGCCTCTTGGGCCGTCTTGGGAGCATCTTGGGCCGTCTTGGAGCCATGGTGGGACGTCTTGGGGCCATCTTGGGCCATCTGGGACGTCTTGGGGACATGTTGGGCCATCTTCGGAGCCTCGTAGGGCAATCTTGGAGGCCTCTCGGGCCGTTCTGGCCGCGCGGTGGCGTCACCATGATAGTCCTGGAGTGGCCCAGAGCAGCCTGGATTTGAGGTTCTCCCCCCCGTTGGCTGTTTAGTGACGCGGCAGGGCCCCTTAGCAGACAATAAACAGGAGGCAGGAAACAGGACTGGAGAGACAAAAGGCCAAACAACAAATGACAACACATAACACATGACAGCAAACCGCACACACCTTCGCAGCCTTGCGACCCTGGAGGGGGCCGGCGGATTATCATTGTTAGCATTATTAGTATTGTTATGATCAGTAAGTGTATGATTCGTACTCTTCGTATTACTACTCTGAATATTCGCATTCTTGTTCTTATTACTATTGCTCGTATTCCGACGACGGCGACGACCACGACGACGACGACGACGACGACTACTACTACTACTGCTACTACTACTCCTACCACTACTAGTACTACTACTACTACTACTGCTTCTACTACTAATATTATTATTATTACTACTACTACTACTTCGACTACTACTACTACTACTACTACTACTACTACTACTGCTTCTACTACTACTATTATTATTACTACTACTACTATTTCGACTTCTACTACTACTACTACTATTTCTACGACTACTACGACTACTACTGCGACGACTATACTACTACTACTACTACTACTACTACTACTACTACTACTACTACTACTACTACTACTACTACTACTACTACTACTACTACTACTACTACTACTACTACTACTACTACTACTACTACTACTACTACTACTACTACTACTACTACTACTACTACTACTACTACTACTACTACTACTACGCTACTACTACTACTACTACTACTACTACTACTACTACTACTACTACACTACTACTACTACTACTACTACTACTACTACTACTACTACTACTACTACTACTACTACTTACTATACTACTACTACTACTACTACTACTACTACTACTACTACTACTACTACCTACTACTACTACTACTACTACTACCTACGACCTACGACCTACGACCTACGACCTACGACCTACGACCTACGACCTACCTACCTACCTACTACCTACCACTACTACTATACTACCAACTACTACTACTACTACTACTACTACTACTACTACTACTACTACTACTACTACTACTACTACTACTACTACTACTACTACTACTACTACTACTACTACTACTACTACTACTACTACTACTACTACTACTACTACTACTACTACTACTACTACTACTACTACTACTACTACTACTACTACTACTACTACTACTACTACTACTACTACTACTACTACTACTACTACTACTACTACTACTACTACTACTACTACTACTACTACTACTACTACTACTACTACTACTACTACTACTACTACTACTACTACTACTACTACTACTACTACTACTACTACTACTACTACTACTACTACTACTACTACTACTACTACTACTACTACTACTACTACTACTACTACTACTACTACTACTACTACTACTACTACTACTACTACTACTACTACTACTACTACTACTACTACTACTACTACTACTACTACTACTACTACTACTACTACTACTAATAGTGTGAGTGTTATTAGTGTTCCTATCCATAGTCTTATTATGAGCATTTCTTATTCGTCTATTCATTATGACACAGTCCTTCCTTTTTTTCAATATCAATATCAACTTTATTATCATCACTGTTCTGATCATCATTATTAGCATTATTCCTAAAAGCTATTATGCCGTCGTCGACGTGGCGCTGCTATAGAGAAGGCCTTCCCCAGCGAGCCACCAATACTCTGCCGCCGCCGCGACTCGCTCTCTCCTCCCTTTTACCCTCTCTCCACCCCTCTCCTCACCAACTTCTGCCTCTTCCTCGTCCTTCTTCTCTTCCTCCTCCTCCTCCTCCTCTTCCTCCTCCGCCTCCCTCACTCTTCTCTCTCGCCCATGTCCTCCCCCTCCGCCCAGAGCGCGTGCCTCCCCTGTGGCTCCCTGTTCATCTACGAGCCTGGCTGCCAGGGGTGTGAGGCCGTCTGGGAGGCCTTCCGCGAGCTCGGCGAGACGTTCGTGGCCCAGGGGGTGCTGGAGGCCTGAGGTTCTCATCGTCAGATCCATCCCAGCCCCATCTGGGAGAGGGTACGTTAGCTCTCCCAGCGTACCCCGTCTTGGTGGGGATGGACGTTGCGAGTCCCGAGGGAGACGACAACCATCCCTGCCGAATGGGTGGATGCTGGCTAGCGGGGGCAAGGTTTTCCCCGGTGGGGTTGGGATGGTTTTAGTTGTCGAGACAGGAGGCCATAGATACACCCGCCGATCTGGTCACCCCGTATCTCCTCCCCGCTGGATGTTGCCAGGAAGTGTTCCTGGCCCGAGGCATCCCCAGCTGTCAGCGCTTTCACAGGCCGCCCAAACCCACCTTGGGGCCGCGTGAGGGGTGTTCTGGGTATGGGGGAACGTAGAGGGGGGGTGTAGGCCAAGGTGGGGTTGGGGAGCGAATCCAGCTTGAGGCTGATATTTCCCTTGACCAGGGTCCGTCCAGAGCAATTGTGCTCTAGTCCTACCACTGGACTTTTTTCTACGTTCCTGCGACTGGAGGCCGCGAGGGATTCCTTGACAATTTCTGGAGACACCCTGGGCCAGACACATTTTTTGTAACACCCGATCCTCCTCCTTCGAGGCCAGGAGAGCACACTAGCACACGCCTCGGTTGTTCGCAGGCGCTCTTCCGACGGCGCCAGATGCGACGAGGACCTCCAGAAACTGCCAACTGGTCCCCCGAGGCGTCGACGTCGACGCCGTCGTCCTCGACGACGACCCGCTGACGCGCCGCTAAGATCGACGATCGTCAGGACGTGGGTCGGACCTGTGTGTGAAATCCGGCCATCTCACATTTCTATCCATCTATCCTGCTACCGTCTCGGCTCAGGTATTGGGAACTGATACCGCGCCGCCTGCCCGCGGCGCATGGGAAAAGGAATCGCTACCCTCTCCTTAACCCTTCCTCTACCTACGGGAATCTCAGTAGGTTCGACTCTTCGGTCGTCAACCTACATACACAAGGCCAAGGTGTGCTTGCCCCGCTGAGCCCCGCCGACAGCGCGCGGCCACTCTGCCGGCCTCGCTGCGGTGCTCCCGCCGACACGGGGAGGCCTCAGTGGACCGGCGCCCGCTGGCGCAACAACACGCGTCCTGAGGATCGTCTAGTCAAGTCGGGCCTGTCAAGTATGGGGACCTTATATAAAAAACAATTCCTGATCATGTTGGGGTCTGTTTTAAATCCGCCTCGAGGGGGACATGCCCGACCTAAAGTATAGAACGGCAGGAATTTCTCGGAATGCCCGGAACCATGGCCACGTGAGCGACTTCAAAAAAAATGAGTTCGTTTGCGCCGACGCTGGCGCGCAAGCTGCCCCCGTAGGGCCGCGCGGAGGCGCCGCCGTCTCCGATGCAGCGTGCCGCGCCGTCGGCCCGCGGAAGCCACCGCGTGAGGTCGCCATGCCATCTCGCGTAAGACCCGCTCTTTTTCGTCGTTCGCGTGTTCTTCGTGTCCACGCCCCCCAAGAGGGGGTATCTTGCAGAGTCGGGCGCCGATGCACTTGGCGCGTGCTTTCGCGTGGTCAGGTCACCCTCGGCGGCGAGCTTGGGGGGAAGGTGAGGAGGTGCGGGCCTTCTCGGAAGGTTCGGAAGTCCCTCAGTCTTCTGTTCAGTTTTCCAAGCTTTCCCCGAAAACAGAAACCTCTCTCAGAAGGCTGGAGGCCTTCTGAGAAGCCCCGCCGTCTTCCGAGAAGGCCTCCTCTTTCTCGCTTCCCCCCCTCGCTCGCGGCCGACGCCCAGGGGGGAGGGGGGGCGGGCATCGGACCAGTGGTCTGTATCGAGGGCCCGCGGAGGCTGGCATTGTGGACTGCGCCCGGCACGAGGCCGTGTGCCGCAATGGGCCGCGCCCGTCCCCGGCCCGCCCAGCGCCGAGAGGGGGAACCCAGCTATCGGGGGAGGCTGGGGCCGCCCCAGCCCCAATCAGGTACGGGGATGCCCTTCGCTTCCTCCCTCCCTCCTCCGTCCTCCCCCCCCTCCTCCCTCTGTACCTCTCCTCGTTCCCTCTCCTCCCGTGTTCTGCCCTCCATTCTCTGTTCTTTCCTCCTCTCCTCCCTCTTCCCTCCCTTCTCCCTTCTCCCTCCCTCCTCCCTCCTTCCCTCCCTCCTTCCCTCGCCCTTAGCGCCTTCCTCGTGATTCTTCCTCCTCCTCGCCAGGACGGACAGCGTTTCGCGCCCCTCCCTCGGCCGAGGCGATCCTCCTTCTCCTCCTCCTCCTCTTCCTTCTCCTCCTCCTCCTCTTCCTCCTCCCTCCCCCTCCTTTTCCTCCTCCTCCTCCTGCTCCTTCTCCTTTTCCTCCTCTTCCTCCTCCTCTTCCTCCTCCTCTTCCTCTCTCCTCCGTCCTCCCTTCTACCCTCCCTCCTCCTCCCTCCTCCTCCCTCCTCCCTCCTCCTCATCCCTCCTCCCTCCTCCGTCCTCCCTTCTGCCTCCTCCCTCCTGCCTTCATCTCCTCCTCCTCCTCCTCCTCCTTCCTTCCTTCCCCTTCCTTCCTTCCTTCCTTCCTTCCTTCCTTCCTTCCTCCCCTTCTCCTCCTCCTTCCTCCTCCTCCTCCTCTCCTCCTCCTCCTCCTCCTCTTCCTCCTCCTCCTCCTCTCCTCCCTCTCCCTCCCTCTTCCCTCCCCCTCCTCCCTCCTCCCTCCTTCCTCTCCCTCCCTCCCCCCTCCCTCCCTCCCTCCTCCCTCCCTCCCTCCTCCTCTTCCCTCCTCCCTTCTACCTCCTCCCCCCTGCCTCCTCCTCCTCCTCCTCTCTCCTCCTCCTCCTCCTCCTCCCTCCCTCTCCTTCATCCCTTTCTCCCTCCTCCCTCCTCCTCTTCCCTCCTCCTCCTTCTCCTTCCTTCTCCCCCTCCCTCTCCCCCTCCTCCTCCTCCTCCTCCTTCTCCTCCTCCTCCTCCTCCTCCTACTTCCTCCTCCTCCTCGTCCTCCTCCTCGTCCTTCTCCCCCGTGGACCTGGGCTGGGCATAGGGGGGCGGGCGCGGCGCAAGACGGAGGCCGTCGCCGAGGGGCTGCCAGCCGTGGCTTACTTCGGCCCGGAGGGCGCGCTGCATCGGCACCCGGGTTGGCCCGTGGACTACAGGGGCCTGTCGCGGTGGCTGGCGGGTGTCATGGCCGACTATTGCGAGGCCTTCGTGGACGAAACGTCATGGCGCCAACATCGCAGAGCGGATTTCGTTCGGAAAGCAGTGGGGTGGGCCCAGGTGGTCCTGGGAAATTTCGTTCCGGATCTCGAAGTGAATTTCGTACGGAATTTTTTCTGGCCAGGAAAGAAGACTACAAACAATCCACGTGAAATTCATTTCATTTTTCGCTCGATGTTCTGGAGGACATAAATCCACGCAAAAATCGTCTGGAGCACGGGTGCAAGGTCGGTGCAGTGATAAACATACCCTCTCGAGTCATGAAGAAATCACGGCGGAAGGTTTTTCGCAGTTTCCATCCTCTGCGGGCCCTTACTGGGCCTCGGGGCCGTCAACAGACGACTCGGGATAGAAAGCCGGTCCCGGGGAGTGGGTCGAGTCCTCTGAGGGTCGACGCTATGACGAAATCATGACTTGGGGTGTCTGGGCACATAGACGCCGTCCCTTTTGCTCGTGTCACAGGGGCTTTGTGCTGAAGCGGCGGTCATGGCCAATACGTGATCACATACAGTCGGACCGAGGTATAAGATCGAGTGCGGTTCGGGGAGGGTGCCCTTGTGTTCTTCGCGCTTGTTGGATGCTCCTGTGTGTCCTGGGGAGGGTACCCTTGGGTGTTCTGTTTGTTTTGGCCGACGGAGGGTCTCATGTTCTTGAGGGGTGTTCTTCTGTCCTAGGTCCGACTGTAGCCCCGTGGGGTCACGGGGCCCCAACGCCAGGTCGCACCAGCCCCCCCGAATCTCCCCAGGGATCCCCCCGAGGGCCTCCGCGAGAGGGGCCGCACGACACGCCCGCCATCACGGCCGTGGGACCGCCGCAAAAGCTGGCAGCGCCGCAGAACAAGGGCGCGGCCTATCCTCCTCCTCCGCCTCCTCCTCCTCCTCCTCCTCCTCCTCCGCCTCCTCCTCCTCCTCCTCCTCCTCCTCCTCCTCCTCCTCCTCCTCCCCCCTGGGGCCGTGACCCGGGGCGTGCTCTCGCGGGTGCCGCGCGCGGAGCGCACCCGTGCGACCGCGCCATGCGCGGAGCGTGTGCCCCGGAGCGTCCAGACCGCGAGGGCGCGGAATTCGGAGATGCTCGCCGCTCGTCGGGCCTGGCCTGGCACGGGCCCCCTCGCGTCCAGGAAGGAGAGGAGCGCGGCGAGGGCGCGTGCGGCCCCCGGGGCCCTCGCCGGGCCCCGGGGCCCTCCGCAGAAGCGGCTCTGGGCGAAGACTCGGCCCGGGGGACGGGGTCGAGGCCTCCAGGGGCCCACGCTGGGCGCAGGGTCGCGACCACGGGGAAGTGGCCAGGCCGGGGGTGGCGCACGGGTGGTCCCCTGGAGGGGGGGGCAGTCCCGGCTGGCCCCCACCTGCCCGCATGGCAGCCCGGGGCGGCCTCAGCATCTCCTCGCCGCCTCCTGTGGCGCCGCTGGGGCGCTGGGCGTCGAGGCCGCCCTGGGCCGCCCCGGGGGCCTGCTGCGAGGCTGGCCGCGGACGGGAGTGCCCCGGGGCCGTGTGCGCTCCACCCCCTCGCAGCTCCGACGCCCGCGAGGTCCTCCCGAGCCTGGGGGCCGCGAGGGCGTGGCTCTCCTCCGACGAGCGGGTCCCGCACCTGATCTCGAGGAGCGAGCAGCGGCACGCGTGTAATCTTTCGGAGGTCCGCGCGGATTTCCTGGATCGGCGCCTGGTCGGACGGGGCTGCAGACGAGGGTAAGGCTGCTCCAGAGCTTTCCGGAGCGCTCAAGGACCCCCAGAGCGTTCCGCCACGCTCTGAGGAGGCCGCGGCGTCCGAGACTTCCTCCAGCGCTCCCCAGTCTTAGAGATTCTCGATGTATCGGGGGTGGACAGAACCCCCAACAGTGACACGTCGATTAGTGAATTGTCCGTTTTCGGTTCTCGTGATGGCGCCGTGGCCGTTATTTTCCAGGCTTGCGCCCGCTAGGTTTGGGCCTCAGGTCGTTTTCACTAAACCACGTTTTACTAAAGGGGGGTCTGTCCATCCCCGAATGTATCCCCACCCGAGTTTTTATGTCCTCGTCCTGGCCTCGCCCAACTTGGCCCAGGGGCGGCGCCATAGGCGCCGCCAGGGGGGCCCGGCGCCCACCCGCGAGCTCCGCGCGGGGCTTCGCGAGTTCATGCTCGTGTCGTCGCCTGCTCCTCGAAGTGTCTTCTTCAGCGACAGGCGCCGCGGGCGAACAACGTACCCGTATCCGCCGTCCCGCGGGCCAGGCCCCTGGGCCGCGCGACCCCGCGCGGACACGAAGCGCTCTCTCGCGGACGCCCCCGCGCGGAGCATACCCGTGCGACCGCGCAACCGCGGCGTCGCGCCCCGGAGTCCAGCCCGCGAGGGCGCGTCGGGAGCCTCGAGACGGGGGTCCATGCAAACGGGGGTCAGCCAGAGCGCCGGATCTTGCAGGATCCTGCAGAGCGAGGGCTGCACTGACTCTGGCTTGCGCGCAGGATCCTACAGGATCCCGCGTGGCCCGACTCACCCGGGCTTGCATTGACCCGGGTCAACCAAAGTCGACAACACGTACGAGGGACCTTTCGCCGGAGTGACCTTTCTGGTGCGGGCGCAGATGGGCCCCCAGATGGCCGAACGCGACGTGACAGCAGCGGCTGGCGCGCTCCAGCTCGACCTCCCCGCGGCCCCCGAACGTCGCGCACCGAGGGTCGCTCCTGCGCGGGGCCACTCCTGCGCGCAGCCGACGGACGCCCCGAGCGCGGGCATCGGCAACATCCCAACATACTTATACTATATGTGCGTCGCCCCCCCAGGGGCGACGCACGCACCGAGAAATCTTATAGTATATGCGTCGTGGCGGGCGCTTTCTGGCCACACCGCTCGGGAAACGATATACCACAAGATGGGTATACTGTATGTTCGGGTCGGACGCGCGCCTCCAAGGAGGACATATAGTATTAGTATGTCCATGTGCGTCCCACGGGCACGCACGTGCCCGCCGCTCGCGCAGGCGGTCGCCCCCGCCGCTCCTGAAGGCGCTCTCGCTGCAGTTCCGGGGGCGGGCGGCGCTCGGCGCGGTTCTGGCGGGCGCGGAGGCGCCCGTGGCGGAGCGCTTCGGCGTCGCGCGCCGGCCTGCTCTCCTGCGCGTGCTGGACAGCGGAGAGGGAGGAGGAGGGAGGAGGAGGAGGAGGACGAGGAGGAGGAGGAGGAGGAGGAGGAGGAGGAGGAGGAGGAAAAAGGAGGAGGAGGGGGGAAAAGGAGGAGGAGGAGGAGGAGGAGGAAAAGGAGGAGGAGGAGGAGGAGGAGGAGGAGGAGGAGGAGGAGGAGGAGGACCACTGCGAACCCAAGACTCATCAAGGATGTTAGAATACACCCTCTCTCCCTCCAAGCTCCGTCTTCATAGGCCCCTACAAGGGTTCATTAGCACTAAGGGAACTGCCTCGTTGGGACACAACCGTTTGAAGACCCTACAGCATGCCAAAACAGCATCTTCGGGACTCCAACGCCACGGATTAACCTTACTGTTGCGTCTTGACGGTCCTGAATCGCACAAGAACACCATTTCTGGGACGTCAACACCGGGAATCAACGCAACTGTTGCACCCATCACAATCTTGAATCCTTCCAAAGAGCCATCTCTTGGTATGTTGGCCATGGGACTCCGTGAAACATTTGCACATTTTCAAAGCGAGTGTGCGCGGCGCTTAAGCGAGAGCCACATTTTGAAAACCGCCCGCCCTCAATCTGTGAAACCCTTGTATTTTGTAAGGCGAGTGTGCGCGGCGCTAAGGCGAAGACCGCATTCTGAAAACGGCCCACCCTCAATCCGTGAAACTCTTGCAGGCTTTTTCAACGAGTGTACGCGACGCTCAGGCGAGAGCTATACTTTGATAGCCACTCGCCCTCCATTTGTGAGCCTGTTGCCACTTTTCCAGCTTCAAGGTCATAGATGTTGAGGAAGTCTCAGGGGAACCGCCCAGCCCGCCCTTTCGACCAGCCTCGGGGTGCGACAGTGAGGAGCTGTTTATGAGGAAAAGTAATGGAGGTCGGAGGAAGAGTATGAGGGGGAGGAGGAGGAGGAGGAGGAGGAGGAGGAGGAGGAGGGAGAGTAGGAGGGGGAGAAGGAGGAGGAGGAGGAGGGAGGGAGGAGGGCGAGGAGGAGGCGGAGGAGGAGGAGGAGGAGGATGAGGAGAGGAGGAGGCCGGAGGAGGAGGAGGCCGGAGGAGGAGGAGCAGGAGGAGGAGGAGGAGGAGGAGGAGGAGAAGGAGGAGGAGGTGCCGACACCGCTGCCCCCCCCCCGTTCTCGCCCTGCTTGGCCTCCTGGCGACCTTTTTTCCCAATGAGGCTTGCCCAAGGGGTTCTTTCTTGTTTAAAGGTTGGTGCCTCGTATTCTTGCGCTGTCCGTTGCTCGGAGGTTCCTCGCCCCCGGTGCCTCGGTATTCTTACGTCGCCCGTTCCTCGGGGTTCCCCCGGTTCCGCGGGTTCCCCGGGTTCCCCGCCCCCGGTGCCTCATGCCAAGCATCGCGAAGCAATGCCAAGCAATGCGAAGAAATGCCAAGCAATGCGAAGCAATGCGAAGCAATGCGAAGCAATGCCAAGCAATGCCAAGCAATGCCAAACACTGCCAAGCAATGCGAAGCAATGCGAAGCAATGCGAAGCAATGCCAAGCAATGCCAAGCAATGCCAAGCACTGCGCCCGTGCAATAGGAAACTTTCCCCTAACTGGGGTCGCACCGTGTCCATCTTATCCCCGGGCAATGACGGGCGTGGCTGAGGGGGGGGGGCAAGCAAGGGGGGGGGAGGGGTGTGGTCACGCCACGATTCGTGCCGGCGTCGTCTGGGAATGCATCAAGGTGGCGAATTCCCTGGCGGACGGGCAGGGGGGGGACGGGCAGGCTACCGACAGTAAGAGGTGGGGTCGAGCGCTCTCCTGCAAGAGGAACATCTGCGTAAACATCAGCTGTCGGAGGTCCGCGCGGATTTCTTGGATTGGCGCTGGAACCCAATCCCTGGCGCGCTGGCGCCGTCTGGGAATGCTTCAAGGTGAGGGGGAGGTGCCAGGCTGGTCATGGGCGTCATCGCGAATCTTGCAAAAAGGAACCCTTGGTCAGGGCCTCACCGGCACTGCTGGGTTCGCCCGGACCTTCTGGGCAGAGTGCGCTCTGGGAGAGGTCCGGGTAGCAGCGGCATCGGTACACACTGTGTCGCTTCCACGTAAGCCAGACCTCCGGTTTGCCGACGCTGTTTGACGAGCACATCCTGACGGTTGAGTTTCCGTGGGATGTCTGCTGCAGTGCGAGCTCGCGTCAAATCCCAGATTGGGTCTCGCCTTTTTCGTGGTGGCCGCGTCTGGCCAGGCCGAGTCCCCCGCACCCGAGCCATTGCGTCTCCCCGACTGTGTGGCTCCCCCAGGACAGGGACTCCCTCGAGGGCGAGTTCTTTGAAGGGGAGCTGAAGAAGGAGACGATGGCGCGCTTCGTGTCCCGCGCGGTGGCCCAGCACCTCGCCGCGGCGGCCGCCCCCCTGCCGGAGCTGGCCCGCCTCGACGGCGCGGCGTGCGGCCCGGCCGACCCCGGCTTCTGCCTGCTGCTGCTCCTCCCGGGAGGGCCAAGGCAGGGCGCCCTCCCCCCCCCCCTTCGCCCCACCTGCCTCGCCCCCCGCCCCCTCCCCCCTGCCTCGCCCGCCCCACCCCCTGCCTCCCCTCCAAGTCCGCGCCTCCCCGCCTCCTCGCCTATCTCCCCCCCCTCCCCCCCCCCTCTCCCCCGCCGCCCCCCCCCTCCCCCTCCCCCTCCTCTCCCTCCCCCCCCCTCCCCCCCGCGCCGTCCACCCTCGGCTCTCCCCCCCCCCCCGCCGCTCCACCGCCGGGGGCGGGGCGGGCGTCGCCTCGCCTGCGCCCCTCCCCCGCCCTCGGCGACGGCGGCCCGCGGAGCGGGCTGCGGGGCGCGCTCGGGCAGCTGTCCCTCCGGCTGCAGGACGGCCTGCTCCCCCCCCCCAGTCGTCGAGTAATAGGGGATCGACTGCAGAGTCGGCTCCTCCTCCCTCCTCCTCCTCCTCCTCCTCCTCCTCCCCTCCTCCCTCCTCCTCCTCCTCCTCCTCCTCCTCCTCCTCCTACCTCCTCCTCCTCCTCCTCCTCCTCCTCCTCCTCCTCCTCCTCCTCCTCCTCCTCCTCCCCTCTAATCGTCGAGTAGGGGATCGACTACAGAATACCGGGCGAGCAGACCTGTGCACACACACACACACCGACCCTGGCCAGGCCCGCCCTGGGGCCCAGGATCGGGGCATGTGCCTCCCTGGCCAGGCCACGAAGGCGTAATTATGCACTGATCCTGGGCTCAGGATGGGCCTGGCCAGAATCGGTGTATGTGCATAGTTCTGCTTCCTCAAAAACTTGATTTCTTCGTCGAATCTACGAAGCATGCGTATAGGGTTCTTTTGTAGATTCGACGAGAAAAATGTTGGGGTAAATCAAGTTTGCAGTCGATCCCCTTCTCGAAGTCGGCGGGCGGCGAGCGAGGGGTGGAAGTGAGGAGGTCTCAGAAGGCGGCGGGACTTCTCAGAAGCCCTCGCGCGTCGTCCGAGCGAGGCGTTCTGTGCCTCCAGGGAAGGCTCAGAGGCCGGGGAGCTTCCGAGCCTTCCGAGAAGGCCCGCCCCTCCTCGCTGCCCCCCCTGGGCGCGCCGGGGCGAGCGGGGCGTGGTCGTGCTGCCCCGGCAGAGCACGGTACTCGTTGAGAGGCAGCGTCGTGCGTGAGCGGTTCGGAGCTTCTCTCGGGGCTGCGGCCCCTCCCGCCTGCTCCTTCCAGAGGGGCCGCAGCTCGGTGCGGGAACGGCGGTCTCGTCTCGTCTCGTCTTCCCCGGGCGCGCCGTCTATCCTCGTCGCGTGAGTCGAGGCCTCCCAGGTGGGCTCGGAGCGGATGGGGTCGGAGGATCGCGCCGCACCGCCGATGCATCGGCGATGCGGCTCGATGCGGAGCCCGATTTTCTGAACGCCGCCGTCGCGGATGTATCGCCGACGTCGCCAGTGCATGGCCAGTGCATCGCCGATGCATCGGCGATGCAGCGTGATCCTCCGACCCCGCCTGCTCCGACCCCATCCAGGAGGCCTCTTAGGTGTCGCGCCGCCCAGGCCTGGGCTTCTTGCTCAAACCTATCGTCATCGAGACCGCGTCCGGTGTGCTCCTTCCTCCCACCGCACTGCTCCTTCTCACCTCCTCCTCCCTCCCTCCCTCCTCCCGCTTCGAGTTTCCTCCCTCCTCCCTCGTCGCTTTCGTTCCTCGTGTGACTCTGCCGAGCAGAACGGCAAACTGCTGATTGAACACGCGCATGCAGTAGCACTTATGAACCTGGCGCGACCCCAATTCGGGGCAGCCTTTGTTCCAAATCCGAGCAGATCAGGGGCAGCATTTATTCCACATCAAGCTCAGCAATGCACAAAAGGCAACGCTCACGCAACCTGTTCCAAATCAAAGGACATCAGCGCAACGCAATTCAATGGGAGGAGGCGGGGGAACTGATGAGGGTGAAACAGCGAGGACCTTACCAAAGGATGATTGGACAATCTGTGGGACAACATTAGATGTTTCGATGGTTTTGGGTGTCTGGTCTCCCTCTTGACACCTCTTTCGGCCCTCGTGGAGTATCTCATGGCATCTTACGTTATTGCCGAGGCCTCTTGGGCGTGCTGGAGCCCTTCTGGAGACGTCTTGGACGGCACCCTGAGCACCTTGGAGGCGTCGAAGGGGCCCTGAAGGCTGGGAAGGTTCAGGAGGGGAAAACACACAGAAATAATTCATCGTCGCCTCCCGGGGAAATATGGGAAACTATGGGAAGTGGGGGGGGGGAAGACGAAAACCCAGAAAATATGGGAAGATGTGGAGAATCCTGGGATTTGTGTGTGTGTGTGTTTATTTGTGTGTCCTTGGGCCCCTTCCAAGGTGCGCCGAGGAGCTCGTTGGGGGAACCCACCCCCCCTCTCAAACCGGATCTTGGACGCCCAGGGATGGGGACAAGGGCGATGTGGTGCTGGCATACATATCACACGTTCTCTCGCCTCTGTCGGCCACGCGCAGAGGGGGGTGGGGGCAGGGGGAGGGCTTCTTAGAAGCACCCCTGCTTCTTAGAAGGCGCGGGCCTTATCTAAGGATGCAAGGCCGGCGCCTTCTAAGATGCAGCCTGCTTCTAAGAAGCCTTCCCCCCTCCCCGTACCCCCTTATGCGCGCCGCCAACTCTGGCAGTTAGGGGATCGGCGGATTCAAAAAGAGGATGCAACCAGGAGGGGACTGAGGGGCAGAGCTTTGCCATTCCTGCGTCAACCAGTGTGCTCAAATGGACGATTCTCGTCCGAAGTATCCTTCTAGCAATATCCTGTTCGCCCACAGTGCCCTTGACAGCAGATGGGCGAACGCGAGAAAGCACGTGCACTTGCTGAGTGTACTGCTGGTTTGGGTATGGCGGGCTTAGGTTAGCACCCATGCGAGATTGCGCGCGCCACTCCACAGTACCTGGCTGCCGAGTGGCCTTTCTTCCGCACCTGAACTACCAAGAGCTGCAAACGTTTCATGGCCCAATGCCCGAAACTGTTCAACCTCTCCTTTCTTATTGCGAAGGCCTTACGGCCGGTGCCGCCGACCCTGAATGGCGACGACGACGACGACGACGACGAGTGCTCTTGGGGGCCTCTTGGGGGTAGCTTGTGGGCCTCTTGGGAAGCTCTTGGGGGCCGCTTGGAAGCCTCGAGGGGGCCTCTTGGGGGCTTCCTGGGGGTCTCTTGGAGGGAGCCTGGGCTCCATCTCTCCTTTCTTACTCCGCCCTGCCCCTCTCCCGCACCTGAACTACCAAGAACTGCACACGTTTCATGGCCTAATGCCCGAAACTGTTCAATCTCTCCTGTCTTATTCCGTCCTGCCCCTCTCTTTCTCCCCCCCCGCAATCCCCCGACGACCTCCGACGGCTGGTTGCTTTCATCTCCGCGGCCCCAGACGTCTCGACCCTTTCTTTCCCGGGGCGCAGTCCTTCGCCCGGGGGTCTGTTTTTGAGGGCTCCTCCTGCCCCTCCTGCTCCTCCTGATCCTCCTCCTCCTCCTCCTCCTCCTCCTCCTCCTCCGGCCCCGAGATCGGCCTCGGGAGGCCGAAAGGGAGGAACGGCGCCAGGATGGAGGGAGTCCATCCGCCCGAATTCTGGCCCCCCTTCCCCCCCCTCCATCCTCAGGACGGCCCCGTCAAGGTGTTCGCGGTGCGCGACCCGGAGTCCGCGCGCGCCTTCGGGCCCGGGGTCGGCGCGGGCGCGGTCGTGCTGCTCAGGCCCCGGAGGCGGAGGTTCAAGGTGCGTGCTGGCCTCCATCCTCCTCCTGCTTCTCCTCCTCTCTCTCCTCCAACCTGCCTCCTCCTCCTCCTCCTCTTTCTCCTCCTTCTCCTCCTCCTTCTCCTCCACCTTCCTCCATGTTCCTTGCGCCCTCTCTTCTCCCCAGCCGCCTCCTTGTCCTCCTCCCCTTCTTCCTCCTCTTCCTCCCTCCTCCCTTTTTTACTTCCCCCCTTCTTTCACTCCCTCTTCTTCTGCCCTCTCTATTCATACCTCCTGCCCCCTTTTGCCGCCTCCTTCCCCCTCCCACCTTTCTCCCCGTCTTTGTGCCTTCGCAGCATGGCTGCTCAGAAGAGGCCCGACTGCGCTAAGCATACGCTCCCACTGCTGCAACGTCGGGGTGTCCGCTGGCTCCTGCACACCTTGGTGGTTCGTGCCGGGATCGTTGATGCGCAGCACGAGGGTCGCCCCTCGGTCAGTGTCGGCGACATACGAAGCGCACACATCATGATGCGCTGTGGTGTCGTGAGCCCGCGGCATTGCCCAGAAGAGTCGAAGGCGTCCCCTGGCAACGTATGGGATTTTGGATGTCCGGGTGTCGGAATTGGTTGCCGAGCCATGAGCCCGAATGGCTTTGAGGATTTCGTGCCTATCGCCCCCCCCCTCTCCACCCCACTCCTCCTCCTCCTCCTCTACCATCCTCCTCCTCCTCCGCCTCCTCCCTTCTTGGCTAAGGGTCCAAGAGGTTTTGCAGCTATTACGCCCACCGTACTTACAGAGTTGCTGTTCATCCCGACCTGTGTGAATGAGCCGTCGAGTTCTTTCGCTTTGTCGTGCAATCCTATCTGTATTGTTTTGGAACGCCACCAGCATAGTGTTTCGAAGGTGTTTGCATTTACATAATGGTGGAGTGTGGCAACGATGATGCAGCGTATACGTTATCAACATATCCCCCTCGCAACATGGAGTGAGGAATCTTCTCATGTGAGTGCAAACATCGATGTATTAGTCTCGGCCGTTGAGAGCTTGACATAAAGAGTAGCGAACTTAGAGCAGAAGCTTTGCGAGGACTCCTACACATATAAAGTCATACCGAGGCTCAACTACTTTGACCACAGCCACTGACCAGAACAGCACAACACATTTCTCGGACATGCTTGGGCATCTACAGAAAATAAGCGACAGCTGGGATGGCATTGGATAGCACACATTTCATCTGCGTGAGCATACTGACTCGCTCGTTGCTGCAGCCCTGAGCGCATGGAAGACAGGGCCGCTTGTCATATTAGAATGCAATTGGCAGTTGCACATTGGCACCCGGATTCAAGTCTTGTATACATCTTCTACAAGATGCATAGTCAGAGATAAGTGGTGATCGTTTTTTATTAATTGTTTTGCCGATCGGCGCGGGCCCCAACCCCCTCTTCCCCCCCATGGAGTAGATCTTGGCTGTTTTTTGGCGCCTGTTTCGGGCGGGTGTAGTCTCCCCAGAGGCCGCACGGTTCTAAACAGTCGCATTAAGCAGAGGTCCGGAGCCAGACCCCCCTCTTCCCCCTCCTTCCGCCCAATGTCGAAACGCCAGACAAAAAACGCTCACGTGCAGACAAGAACCAGTTGTTGAAGACAAAGGCGTGAAACCTACTTTTGACAGTAGTGGGCACATAGTTTTACGTTCGCCAGACGCGCCAGTCAAATATTCACAGTCGCGGGCATTTCATGAAAAAAACAACAAGGGCATTCATTCGTTTCATGGTAAGCCTCTTGAGCAGCACATGCCTCCAATTGATTAATGAACCTCGCGTTACTTCGCTCCTCCCAGTCTTCCGCCTCTCCGTATGCATGCTGACACGTATGCGTTTGCGTTTGACTGGCCTCTTCTGGGGTGTAGGTATTTTGCCGAATGGTCCTGGTTTTTGGTCGTCACCTTTCCTCCTCCTCCGCGAGCTTCACGCTCATGAATCACACAGGGATCCAAAGTGCATCCCGGGCTTCAGCCCAACCAGGGCCCAACCGCCGTGCTCTCATAGGCCCGTCTTTCTGGATATATGACGGCGCCTCGCCCTCCTCCTCCCTCCTTCTCCTCCCTCCTTTTCCTCCCCCCCTCCCTCCCTTCCTCCCTCCTTCCTATCTCCCTCCTCTTCCTTCGCTCTTGCTTTCTACTCTCCCTCTGCCATCCTTCCTCCCCCCTTCTCCCTCCCTCCCTCGCACCCGCGTCCCTCATCCCTCCCTCCTCATCCCCTTGCCTCCTGTCGAAGGTGTTTGCCGGCGACCCCACCAGCGTGGACGAGCTGGCCGCTTTCGTGGACGGCGTCGTTGGCGGCGGCGCTCCGCTGCCAGAAGTCATGCGGTCTGCCCCGACCACGCGCGGACGCGAGCTGTGAGCAAAGACAGTCCTGGAGGAGGGAGGAGAGGAGGGGCAGAGGAGCAAACGATGCCGACACCGCTGCTCGTCCTGGAGAGCCCTCGGCGCCACGGCTGGGTGTTCTCTTCAAATTCTGGTCAGAGTGCACCCCAGGAGAGGTCCGGGGAGCGGCGGCATCGATATCTGTTGGTTCCCGCATGGGGTTGGGGGGGTTGGGGGAGGGGGATGGTGGAGGAGGAGGGGTGAGGAGGAGGGTGGAGGAGGGAGGAGGATCAGAGTAAGCCCAGGCAACCCAGGGTGCATCCACGACGCTGCAGTACACCGTCCTGTCCCAAGATGCCCTCGTCATACGCCCCTACGCGTATTCCTCTCCACCGTGGGAGGCGCCCCCCCTCGAAAGGCGACCACCCCGTAGGTCTGCTGTTCAGGCGAGGCCCCACGTTGTACATGATCTGCCCCCGATCCCCGTAGCTGTAAGACATGCAGATATGCTGGGTCATGAAGTTTGAAGAAGGAGAAGTCCAGCGGGAGTTCTGTTTTGAAGGGGTATGCCTTCCATCCGTGGGCGCGCTGCACGATTCCAAATTCTCGTCATAGATTTTGAGGAAGTCTCAAGTGGGAGCACCCCATTTGGAAAGGAACTGCCCTCGTGCTGTGCATCAGTGCCATAACTGTTGAATTTCGCGTCGCACAAGTTGAGGAAGTCTCAAGCGGGACCGCCATTGTAGGATGATGGGCAACCGTGGGAGAAGGGATGACAGCACCAGGATGGATCAAATGCCAACAGCTCGAAGCTTGAAATGGGGAAGGGACAGGGGGATGGGGAGGAGGAGGAGGAGGAGGAGGAGGAACCGGACGGATGACCGCTCTCCCCCCCGACCTCTCATCCTTTCCCTCCATCTTCCCGTCCCTCCCTTCCTCTCCCTTTCTTATTCTTCGCCAGTAGTCTTATGCCCTGTGTCCTTATCCTTTCCCTTCTCTCCTTCCCGCTCACCCCTCGTCATCTGAGCCCTGTGCGTTAGGCTATTCTGCCTCCTGACTTCATGGGCCATCTTTGCTACGCATTGAGGATGCTGCTTGTGATGCGCACAAGGGATGATGAGCGCGTAGTTTTGCAATGTGGATCGGGGCAAGTGTTAGTTTCGACTCTATCTCCCTGTTTACCTATCCCTCGTCATTCATGCTGGTGCACTTCATCAAATCGTTGCAGTGCGATCGCGATTCAGGCCACCAGCGCCATACAGCACTCTGTGGGCAGCATCGTGTGGAAGCTGAAGAGCGCCAAGCGAGAGCTTGTCTTAGGTGTCAACCAGGAGTCCACCATGCCGCCCCTAGTGATGGATGGGATTTGCACTGCTGTTGTGGCGATGTGTTATGGAGAGAGCTTCATCATGAGAAAGGTATGCAGCATTTCATTGAACTTGTTGTAGTCCCTGTCGTGGACATATACCAGACTTCGCCGTGTGCCGAGATGCAGCTAGATGCTTGCCGTACGCTGCTGTCACGTAGCTACGCGATTCGGTCTGCCTGCAACAAACTGTCCTGTCTCATTATACCCAAAACATCAGTTACATGATTCGTATCCATGTCTTTTCGAAGTGCGCTTGCCCAACTAGTTGCTGCACGGCTTTCAGCGAACGAGTTCATCTGATTGCACTGCCAATTATTTGACAAGTCCGTAACTCGCTTGTGAATCAGAGCTGCCTCTGTCAGAGTTCTGGTGACCCCTCCATCTTGCAGAATTCGCCAGTCCGCTCGACAGCGCCATGGTTGTTCGGAATCTTCCCGCTCAATAAATGAGATCGGCGCATGTGCCGCATGCTTCGAAACAACACGTGAATGATATCCGAATAAGCCGTCAGGCCTTCAGAGCAGATTCCTGGAAGTTTGCAAGAGGAGCAGCTGGGACGACACGGAAGTGGCAAACAATATTAAGTAAACGGCAGCCGGGTGCAGCAGGAACAGTCAGGTACAGCCAGACCCAAGCGAAGCATTGTCAAGTGCCCAGAGGCAACAGGATCAGTTGGTTGGGACCGGGCAGGCCCAGGAACTTACCCAGGGACGTGTCCAACCCATCTGAATAAATTGCCACTTGCACTTGCCATCTTCAGTTAGCACCACCGGGGGATGCGAGGTCTATTCTGGCTCTGAAGAGCCCCGTACTCGGCTGAGCCTACCAGGAGCTCGCGAAAGTGGCGGCAGTTACGCACTTGGCAGCAATCATTTGAATCCTCCGCGTGTCACATGCCATAAGCTCACGAAAGTGGCTACGGTTGCGCAGTTGACAGCCCCCTAGTGAGGGGATTCATCATTGGAATCCGCGTGTCCTCGCACTCCGCTGGACCTCCCAGGTGTTCACGAAAGCGGCTACAGTTGCACAAGAGGCAGCACATCATAGAGAGGAGTAGGCATTTTAATCCCCTTGTCCCGCACTCTATTGGACCTCCGAGAAGCTCACGAAAGTGGCCACAGTTGCACAATTGGCAGCCACCAGGGTGCTGCCGCATGCCCCAGTCGGTGCGTCCTGCCAGACGCCATGGCCCTCTGGAGAGAGCCATGACGTCTGGCAGGACGGGCCCGCTTCGTGTGCTGGTGCAGGTCGAAGCTAGCAAGGCTTCGACCCGCACCAGCACGAAGCGGGCCCTCTTGAGAAGGCGAGAAAGCGCTGACGCCTGGTAGGAAGAGCCAGCCTATGCTCCGGAGGACGTGTCCTGGCCCCGCGAGACGCCCATGACTCTCTCCAAACCTCCCAGCTGCACGCCTCCGCTGCTGCCAGTGCCAGAGCCGTAGCGGCGCTTCTCCTCCTCTTTCTCCTCCTCCTCCTCCTCCTCCTCCTCCTCCTGCTCCTCCTCCTCCCTCCCTCCTCCTCCTCCTCCTCCTCCTCCTCCTCCTCCTCCTCCTCCTCCCTCCTCCCTCCTCCTCCTCCTCCCCCCCTCCTCCTCCTCCTCCCCCTCCTCTCCCTCCTCCTCCTCCTCCTCCTCCTCCTCCTCCTCCTCCTCCTCCTCCTCCTCCCCCTCCTCCCTCCCCCTCCTCCTCCTCCTCCTCCTCCCGTCCTCCTCCTCCTCCTCCTTCCTCTTCCCTACCGCTCTCCCTCTTCCTCCGCGTCTCCTTTCCTTTGTTCCCCGCCGCTCGCATCGCCTCGCCTCGCTTCTCTCCTCTCTTCTCGCCTCTCCTCTCGTTTCCCGGTCTTTCCTCTCCATCCTCTCCTTTCCTCTCCTGTCCTCTCCTCTCCTTTCCTCTCTGTTCTTTTGTTTTTTCTTTTTTCCCCCTACTCCTGGGTGCCCTCGACCTCGCCCAGGGAATCGCCGACATCGCGAACGCCCTGAAGATACAGCCGAGCCCAGTGGTGGCATGGTTCGACCGCTCCTCCACTTTCGGTCTTGAGGAAAGGGCGAGGGGAGCCAGATGCGTGAGTGGGCCACCGTCGTCCGTCGTCGTCGTCGACGTCCTTATCCTCCTCCTCCTCCTCCTCCTCGTCCTCCTCGTCCTCCTCCGCCTCCGCCTCCGCCTCCGCCTCGGCCTCCGCCCTGCTCCTCCTGGTGGCCTGTTGCCCGTGCAGGCCGACTAGGGGCGGTCAAAGAGGGGGACTCGAGACGGGGCCAGGCCAGGACGGATGAGGAGGAAGAGGAGGAGGGGGAGGAGGATGAGGAGTGGCACAGCGAGGGGGAAGAGAAGGAGGGGCAGGAGGAGGATTGTGTGTGTGTTCCCTCTGACGACGATGACGATCATCAGGATGACGTTGGAGATGGATAAGGCTGTTGATGATGATGCTGGTGATGATGGCGATGTGGTGATAATGTCGATGCCGGTACTGATGATGATGACAATGATGATGATGACAATGATGATGATAATGATGATGATGATGATGATGATGATGATTACGATGATGATGATTACGATGAACATTATACTGCTGCTGATGAGGATGATGATTTTGATTACGATGCTGATGATGACGACGGCGATCATGACGATGACGATGCCGATGATGTTGTTGGCGACGATTCTGACATTGATAAGGGCACCACTGATGAGAGCAACGGTGCTGTTGATAATGATGATACCGATGATGATGATGCTGATGATGCTGCTGCTGCTGATGATGATGTTGATGATTCTCCAGATGATGATGATGATGATGATGATGATGATGATGATGATGATGATGATGATGATGATGATGATGATGTTGCTGATGATGATGATGCTGATGATGCTTCTGCTGCTGCTGCTGCTGATGATGACGATGACGATGACGATGACGATGATGATGATGATGATGATGATGATGATGATGATGATGATGATGATGATGCTGATGATGATGATGATGATGCTGATGATGATGATGATGATGATGATGATGATGATGATGATGATGATGCTGATGATGCTGATGATGGTGATGATGATGATGATGCTGATGATGAAGATGATGATGATGATGATGATGATGATGATGATGATGATGATGATGATGATGATGATGATGATGATGATGATGATGATGATTATGATTATGATTATTCTCTTGTGGCGATAACTCTCGTTATCAGATCGTACGGCTGACTGGCATGGCACCGAGCTGCAACAGACTGGAGCGTGCTTGCGCCTGCGAACTCCCCGCTCAGCCGACCCAGCTACGGACAAACGCGATGATGTCCCTCCTGGGAGATGCCAAGGAGCAGAGGGTCAACCATGAAAACTCCACGGCATCATACGTGCTCTCGCAACTCCGTAAGCCATCACGTCCGTAAGCACCTCATCCCCCGCTGGAATGCCCACGGAAGTGCCGCCAGAAAAAGGCTTGCCCCCGCCGGCGCTGGTGAACTCCAGACTTCAGGTGGTGTGGAGGCTAAGGCGGCCGTAGCTCCCATCGTCCCCATTGATCCTATGGCAAGATTGCATACGGCTTCAATCGCCAAGTACTTCAGGTAGCTGTAGGTCATGAAATCCCGTGGTACGAGCTGGTAACCGGCAACGACTCCGCAGGTGAGGGTGAGGATAGTGAGGAACAAGAACACGGAAGTAGGCAAAATGACCACGCCCTGAGAAGTCCGTTCTTCTTTTTTACGAGGTGAAGTTGTTCGGACAGAAACCTCTGGGCAAGGGTCAGCAAACATGGAACCAACGTCAGAATCACTGTCGGTAGCTTCGTGGTGAACGCCGATATCTCCTCAGGCCATCTTCTGCACTAACTGGAACAGAAGGCGTGCCCGTTCTTCTTTTGCTCGCGGTACCTTGGTCGTGGGGCCGCCCATGCGCTTGATGCGATGCCATCGTCCAGGCGCTGCACGACGGCCCTCTGCGACCACTTGCTCCCGATCTCTTTGATGAGCTCCTCCAGCGTGCCCTCGGTGAGCTTCACCTTGTGGTCCAGCTCCGCGCAGATGAGGTGGCGCTGGAGCGGGGTGAGCACCTCGGGGGCGGTGCCCGCGGGGGGGACGGCGCCCGCGGGGGCGGCCCCCGAGCTCCCACTGGCAGGCGCCGTCAGCGGAGGCGGCGGCGGGAACTCCGCCGTGGGTGCCGTGCTCGTGACAGCACTCGCCATGGCCGCCTGCAGGCCTGGTGCCAGAGCCTCCGCCAGGATGCGCCCCTGCCTCGCGAACTCCTCGTCCCTCTTCTCGGCCTCCTTGGTCCTCACGTACGCGGTACGACGGGTCCTTCTTCCACATGATGCGCTCCGCCAGCTTCAACTGCTTGTCCGAGTCGTAGGACGACGAGGATGTAGAAGACGACGACCTCGGTCTCTTCTTGTCCTTCTTGCTCTTCTTGTTCTTGCGACGGCTCCGATTGCGTCCGCCATCTCTTGAGTCTTGGTATTGATCAGGTTTGACCCACGGCCACCGATACTGATCTCCTCCAGGTCCGTTCCGTTGATCGAAGCCCTGGCCACGGCCACCGCCTCCTTTGCTGCCGCCTCCCATCGCCCCAAGGGAAGGCAGGAACAGCTTGCCCCACGAGCGCAGTGCCCGCCTTGCGAGCCGCACGGCTGGGGACGGAGGCAAATAATGAGATAATGCACGCACAACCTCGGAGGGATAAGACATTTTGATAAGCTCGATAAACAACTCCATGATGCAAACATACAGGGCTCCCGTCGGTAACTCCAGAGTCACCCCCCTCGCAATTTTGCCCAGGAAGACTCCCCGAAGGCGTGTAAAAGGTACGGGTAGATGGTCCAGGTAGGGCAAGAACGCTGATGAATGAGATGGTGACGAGCCTGCCAACCATTGCCGATTAAGATTTTTTAGCGTCCACTGAATGCACTGGTGGCCCAGGTGGATCTCAAGGTCGAGCCAGGTCACGCTTCTGGAGCTGGCGCTGCTTAAGAAAACGATGCTGATAGGCTCCCTGAAAGTCGCTCGCAGACAACGAACCATGCACGTCGGACACAAACGATACGAGAACGACAAGATACCATCCACATACCTTACCCATGCAAAAACAGATAGAACATCTGGGCGAGGAAAAATCCACCCCTCGGAGTCGAGTTTGTGGGGGTCTTCCAGAACGCTTGCCTCTTCATCGCCCAACTGAACTGCTACAGCTGCTGAACTCATAACTCCTCCTATACATAAACCCAGCATCTCGACAACGACCTTCCCCACGCATGCTAAACTTATCATTGTTGAGGCTTTCAGGGCGTAGCCAAGCTGATATAAGGACAGGACCCACCAGGCGCGATTCCACTGGGAGGGACCGATGCGGGTGACGCATTTGCGCCCCCGTTGCACCATCACCGAATCAGCTTTCCACCGTTCCTAAAATCTCCTGGCTGTTCTCCCCCACGCACTCATGACCGACTCACCCTTGCATGCCTCGAAAGCCTGATCTACGTCTACAGCTGCACACGATAGGCCATCCAACTTGGCCCCGCAGCACTCACAAGGCCACTCGAAGCTCCCCTCGTCAGTGATGGCACGTTCGGGGGGAGTGAGGTGGCTCAGGGTCTCCCTCAGCGCGGGGACGACATCGTCCATGCTGAAGACTTCTCTGGAGCGGCCCGTGCCAGCCACAACCGCACGCACGGCGCGCCCCATGGTCCTCCAGCCCTTCGCGAACGGGGTCCCCGCCATGTCCACGACGCGACGGACGCAGGAGTGGCCCGCCTTGGTGCAGACGTGGCCGCCCTGTGGGTGCCAGCACTTGCTCTTGACAAAGGCGAAGACCTGAGGGATGCGGAAGGCCACTTGCCGAACTCGCCGTCGGAGAAAATCTGGAAGACCGAGGACGGCGCGTGCCTCCGCCCATACGAGACACGCAGATGGGCACATCTCTGGTCGGAAGCGCCAGGCCTCCGTGTCCTTGGCCATGCCGAGCAGGAGGTGCGAGGCGTACTCTTCGGTCTTGGTGCTCCATGCTCGGGTGTGGAGTCGATCATCATGAAGGAAAGTAGTCGATGAACTCAATGATATAGCCATACGTGTTTCTTCCTTGAGCCAAGCCTTGGGTGCTGCAGGACAGACTTGGCGGGATACTAGGTTATCTAACGCTGCACGACATTGTCGTTGAACTCTGGGATGAAGACGCTGTTGCGAACACTAATGATGTATAGCTTTCAGGGCTGTTCTCTTGATCCGTCGTGCTGTCGGCCACCGCTTCAGCCTCCATGGAGCATCATAAGCCACTAAAGAAGGAAGTTGGGCCCATCGTCTAAGATCTGAAACGTCCGAATCGGATACCCAAGTCTTTGGTAAATCTCGAAGAACTCGTTTTCCATTCAAGCGCTGAACCCATGTCTGGTCCTTCTGATAACATATCTTAATGTGTTTCTGGAGCCACGATCTTGCTGGTGCCACTCGCATTTCCTGTAGGGATGACCATGCAAGCTTCTTGACCACATTCTTATGTTTCCGCAGGAAAACTGGTAATAAAATTGGAAGCACTTGTAAAGGTGGGAGCCGTAGTCGTCGAAGATGCCATTCAATGTTGCGTCGAGCTGCGAGTTGACGGCCCATACCCTTCACGTATTTTGTTAGAGAGCCCCCAGCACGATATAGAACGGAGGCAGCTTGAGCTCGATCCCATTCTGGTGGAAATTCAAGTCGTGGTTTGGCCGAGGCGAAGAAAGCTAGGAACATATTGGTCCACTGCGGTTGCAAGATTGATAGTGGGCCATGCTCACCTGACGTAAGTAACATATGTAACTGTACTCGTTGATACAGGGTCCTCCACGGACCCCAACTATCAGAAATACAATTCACCTTCTCCTCATGCTTGAGCTTCTTTGTAAAGGCATTCTGCACTGGGTGCGCAAGCCAGGCTGATGACACCGACGCTGTAGCACGAAACCGCTTGTGGGGCCGTCGTCGTCGGACTGGTGGCTTGAGGCGTAGAGGATCCGCTTGTTGTGTCATGGCCCGCAGCTGCGCCGCATCGAGACCGTTGCACGGCGGGTCAAGCATGCCAATGAGGCTAGACCCCATGGCCAGGGCGCGCACCTCGGACTCGAAGTGGTACACTGGTAGGTAGGCCACCGAGCCCAGCGACTCCCGCAGCAAGCGATACCGTGCGATCTTTCCATCTCGTGTGGCTGGTAGTCGGAGCGCTCGTAGATGCTCCATCGCGCGGGCCGCGACGCCTGAGGGAATCCCCGAGCGGCGTTGGCCATTACACTTGCCAATATAGAAACCAGAGTGCGCAAACAGGACGTAGATGTAGGTGACACTCTTGGGCTCCAGGATGTCCGCGTGGACTTGCTTGATGTAGTCCATGCCCTTCTTCTGAACCGATGCCTGCACCAACGGTGGTAATGCGGGCCAAACACGTCGAGCCCAAGACATCGGTCGGCACCGTACGTGAGCTTTGTGAAGAAACGCCATCGCGAGAGTTGACCACACCATTGCCAAATTCTCCCCCAGGCCCGTAGTATTACGGCCTGCTACCTGCTGGGGGCCCGCGATCTGGTCAGCCAACTCCGCAACGGCAAACGACAAAGACGGGATATCATTCTGTTGCAATCTGCCAATTGCCCACTCAGATACCTCAGCTCCAGCTCCACGTCCAGGGTGAAGAAGAGCTGCTTGAATTTGTTCGACTTGGTCCTGCGGCCACCGGCCATGGTGGGAGGGACGCGGCCAAGGTAGCCTGACAGGCATCTGTGGGTCAACTCCGCCACTGAAAATATGGATATGGATTGAGCCCTGCACGACCGTGGAACTGTGTTCGGCCACGTGCAGGAAGAAGATGATTCTCTTGTGGCGATAACTCTCGTTATCAGATCGTACGGCTGACTGGCATGGCACCGACTGCAACAGACTGGAGCGTGCGTGCGCCTGCGAACTCCCCGCTCAGCCGACCCAGCTACGGACAAACGCGATGATGATGATGATGATGATGATGATGATGATGATGATGATGATGATGATGATGATGATGATGATGATGATGATGATGATGATGATGATGATGATCATTATTATTACTACTATTATGTTTATTATTGTTATTATTGTTATTATTATTGTTATTGTTATTAGTATTATTATTATTGTTGTTATTATTATTAATATTATTAGTATTATTATTATTATGAGTATTATTATTCATGATTGTTATTATTATTACTATGAATATTCGCTTCGCTAATTCCGCCGGCCCTGGAGCCCTCTTTAGGGCCTCTTTGGGGCCTCCTGGGGACCTCTTGGGAGTCTCTTGGGGCTCCTTGGCGGCGTCTTGGGGTCCCCCAGGGACTCTTGGGGGCTCTTGGGGGCCTCTTGGGGCGGGGGGGTAGTCGATTGCGGCTCCCCCCTCGGAGGCCACGATCCTCGTGAGGGGTGTCGAAAATGGCCCTCCCTTGGAGCGCTCTGTGGACCTGACCGGGACCTGATCGTGACCTGGCCGGGGTACTTTTCGTTTGGGGGCCCCCAGGGGCCGCTCCGCGTGCGCGAACTAGAAATATTGTTAACCAGTTACCGGAGATCTTAGCACGCCTCTGGCCCGTTGGGCCGGCGAATTAATGGTGGTTGATGATGATCATGCTGATCATGTGGATGATGATGATGCTGACGATGCTGATGATAAAGGATTATGCTGATGATGACGACGATGATGATGATGGTGATGATATTGACGATGATGATGCTGTTGCTCGTTCTGATTATTTATGATTGGTGATGATGATGATGATGCTGATGCTGCTGCTGCTGATGATGCTGGTCCTGAGGATGAGGATGATGATTATGATGATGATGGTGGTTGGCGATAATGATGATGACGACGACGACGACGACGACGACGATGATGATGATGATGATGATGATGATGATGATGATGATGATGATGATGATGCTGACGATTATGATGAATCTGATGATGATGATGATGATGATGTTGCTGATGTGATGATGCTGAGGATGATGATGCTGATGATGCTGATGATGCTGATGATGCTGTCGCTGATGCTGATGCTGATGCTGGTGCTGATGCTGGTGCTGCTGCTGATGATGATGATGATGATGATGCTGAGTTGTGGTATTGTTTTTGAGTTCTCATTTCGAAATATCAAAACTGCTGTCCCCCCGTGACCATTGTGCTTTTCAACTGAAGAGCTTCTGTGGCTCGCACCTTTTTTGCAAGGGAAACTCTTGCGCCTCAGATTGTGTTGTTGCCCCCCAGTGCACCACAATAACGGCTTTCGCTTGATATTTTCCCACGGTGGTGGTGGTGGTGATGATGATGGCGATGGCGATGATGATGATGATGATGATGATGATGATGATGATGATGATGATGATGATGATGATGATGATGGTGGTGGTGGTGGTGGTGGTGGTGGTGGTGGTGGTGAGGAGGAGGAGGAGGAGGAGGAGGAGGAGCATGATGAGGATTAGGCGGATGATTAGCTGATGATATGCTGACGTTTGCGCTGATGTCGGCCAGGGCGACGGCGTGGGCGAAAACGGCAATGACGATGAGGATGGTGGTGGTGATGACCGTGTTGGTGGTGGTGATGGTGATGGTGATGGTGGGCGCACTGCGCAGGTTCTCCTGCCCCTCACCCGGCTGGCTCCCGCGTTGCCAGCGCCCCCCGTGCCGCCCCCGCCCGCGACGCCAGCAGCGCACAGCTGCCCCTGGCTGTGGTCGACGAGAGCTTTGAGGCGCCCGCCACCGTGTCCCTTGTCGTCTCTCTGTGCCTCTTCGCCTCTGTGTGCGGGGTGCGTGCTTCTGACTCTGCACGCGTGTTGTGCGTGTGTGCGTGCGTGTGCATACGCGTGTCTCCCTCGCGAGTGCTGCTGTCGATCCCCTATGGGTGGATCCATCTTTCTCCGCGCTGCGTGAGGTGGCCTGGCCTGCGCGTCCCCGCCCGACTTGACCTACGCCACGCCTCCGCGACACTGTCGTGTTCACGAGAATTGCTGCGAAAACATGCGCTGTGATGTACGCCGGCGATGTGGTGCACGCGCACGGTCGGACAGAGGTATCAGATCGAGGTCGGTTCGGTGAGGGTACCCTGATGCTCTTCGTGCTTGTTGAATGTTCTTGTGCATCCTGGGGGAGGGTACCCTCGAACGTTCCTCAGTTTGGCTGGCGGAGGGTCTCAGGTTGTTGAAGGACGTTCTTCTGTCCTAGCTCTGGCCGTATGCAGCTGTATTACTATCTACGCCTTGGTTCGCGCAGGCGCAGCGTCCGTATGGCTACTGTCAGACATCCCCTGCACCCTACACTGCGTTGACTTATTCTTGGTAGGTCCTCGCCTACATGCACACGCTAGCTGCCTTTATGTATTCGAGAGGCTTGCGCCATCCTGCCGACCCCCATAACCAACAAAAACATGTGCGGCTTCCGATTCCCTGCGTGTTGTGTGCGACTCTCCGTCCTGCGACCTGCGCGTAGCTGTTGCTGATGTTTCCTCTCTTTGTCTCTCCGTGTCTGCTGCGAGGCTTTTTGGGAGCCTCTTGGTGGGTGCCCAGGGGGCGGCCCCTTCGCGTTTTCTCGAAGCTCCCCTGGGCTTCCTGGAGGGGTGGGGGGCTTCTTGAGGGCCTTTTTTGGGGTCATGTTGCGGGTCTCGGGGGCCATCTCGTGGGGGGGGGTTCCCGGGGTCCCTGCGGGTTCCCCTCTTGGGCCCCTCTCCGTCTTGCGTCCCTTCTGGGCCGTCTTGGGGCCCTCTTGGGGCCCTCTTGGGGGCCTCTGGGGCAGTCTCGGCGCAGTCTTGGGGGCCTCTTGAGACGTCTTGGAGCGTCGGAAGCTCGAAGAGTGGAGAATCCGCAAACCAGTGAATCAACCATGGGATATTACGGGTTTTGGTCTCTCGGGGCCCTATTGGGAAGGCTCTCGGAGGCCTCTTAGGGCGTCTTTGGCGCTTTCTCGGCCAACTGGAGGTCATCTTGGGCGTCTTGTGCCGATTGTTCTGCGATTTGGGGCTCTCTTGGACCGTCTTGGGGGCCTCTTGGGGCTCTCTTGGCCCGTCTTGGGGCCTGCCTTGGCTGCGAGAAAGCCACGCGACGAGGCGCGGGGAGCCGCGGGCGCGCGGGAAGCCCCAGGAGATTGTGAAGGCTTGACGGCCGGTGCCGCCGACCCTGAAAGACGTCGACGACGACCAGGAGGGGGAGGAGGAGGAGGAGAAGGAGGAGGAGGAGGAGAAGGAGGAGGAGGAGGCGGCGATAAGGAGGAGGATGAGGAGGAGGAGAAGGAGGAGGAAAAGGACTCCCCCTGGGACCCCCCTACCCCTGGGGAGGAGGACCGGTTTTGTGAATGTGGGGTGCGGGTCTCCTTGAAGAATCTACAGGGTTGAGGACTGAGGCTCAGGGGTCGAGCAAGGGACCTTGGGACGCTCCACTTCGTGCCACAAGGGCACGGTGGCGGCTGTGGTTTCCGTACCAGATTCACGAAGGCCCTGCCGTTTGGCTGTCGAGCGCTCTCTCTTTCCCCTCCCTTTCCTCCTCCGCTCTCCCGCCTCCTTCTCCGTTTCTTTCCTCCCTTTTTCCCCCCCCTGGCCCTGAGCATGTTTCCCCCCTCCCGCCCGCCCCCCACACCCGCCCTCCTCCTGCCTCCCCCCTCCCCTGCCCTCCTCCCCCTCCTCCGCGTCATCCTCGCTTCCCTCCTCCCCCTACCACTCCCTGCTCCTCGCCCTCCTCTTCCCTCTCCTGCTCCTCCTCCTTCCCTCACCACCCACCAAGCCACCCCAACCCAACCCGAAGGCTCAGATTTACCCTCGATTTCTAGTGTGGGGGGGGTCGGGAAACATTGAAAAAACACGCGTGGAACCATTACCCCCCCAACCCGAAATTCGGGTCTTCGGGTTGGGTTGGGGTGGTCTGGTAGGTAGTCATTCCCCCCCTCCTTCCATCCTTCTTCCTCATGGCAACTCCTCCCTGGCGCGCCACCAGATGTGCCGCTGGGGTGGGCCGGGCGTTTGGCCTGACATCTCCCCACCCGTGTCGGGTATTGAGGCTTGAAGGCTCCAGCAGTTACATGCTTGGAGGGCGAGTGGTCTTCAGCATGGGGCTCTGGCTTTGGCTCCGCGCAGACCTGTCTTCGACGACTCCAGCACTTAGGACGGCGAGCGGTTTTCAAGCCAGCGCTCTCGCTTTGGCGCCGAGTTACTCGGATGGAGGGCGGTTCCTTTTCAGAACGGGGCTCTCGCGTGAGGCCTCTCCAGCATTCAGCACCACAGGTGTACACTTGTGCAGCATTTGCACGGATTGAGGGCGGTCCCTATTCAAAACGAGGCTCGCGTTTGAGGCCTCGTGGGGTTCTGGGGCCAGAAGTTTAGGCACGTGAAGCGGGTACACGGACGGTGGATGGCTTCTTTTCAAAGTGGGGGCTGTCCCTGGGCCGAGGCATGTCGTGGAGCTTTAAGGCTCCGCCTTGTCGCATCTGTATCTTGAAGGATCAAGGGCAGCGGAGCTCCTTCCTGAATTGCCGGCCCATGGGGTGCTTGTCTTTTCAAAGGGGGCGTTGCGCGCAGTGATCAAGAATGCTTCTTGGGACCAGTGAGGAGAGGATTGGGGACGGGAGGGCGTATTGCAACATCGTTGATACATCTTGGGTTGACTGTGGTCTTTTCCCTCCTCGTCCTCTCCGTTCCCCTCATCCCCCTTCTGCTCGTCCTCCTCCTCTGCCTCCTCCCTGTTCTTTCATTCCTCCTCCTCCTTCCCCTCTCATCTCTCCTCCCCCTCGTCCTCTTCCCCATCCTCCCCGGGCGCAGCGCCCGTCGCGCGGTGGCCGCGATCCGAGGACGCGGGCGCCAGGGTTTTCGAGAAGCGCTCGGCCTCGACCCGCACCGAGCAGGAGGGCTGGGTCGGAGGGTCCCTGCTGTGTGGTCGCTTCCTTGGCAAGCAGGGGAAGGGCAGGGATGAGAGGAATGACGACGACGACAACGACGTCGACGTCGACGACGACCACGACCACGCCCACGACCACGGCGACGACGACGATGACGACG